ACTCCTTGTATATTTTATTATAATAATTTTGTGTGGATTTAACATCTATACTTGTTGCTCATTTTTGTATGAGATTAGTTTTTCTAAATATTTAGAAGTTTATGTGGTTTAGGGTATCTTTTCTTACTCTTACTGTTGTTTTTGTGTAATGTTAAAAAAATATAGTGATTGCTTTTTGAGTTTTCCTGTCTCTTTATTACTACCCGATGTTTATCTGAAACTTCACTTTACTTTCGTTCTTTTTTTTTCCTTTTGTGTTTTTAAGTAGGCTCCACGTCCAGTGTGGAGTCCAGTGCGGGGCTTGAATTCACCACCTTGAGGTCAAGACTGAGCCAAGATCAAGAGTCAGACGCTTAACCAGCTGAGCTACCCAGGCGCCCTCTTTTCTTCTTTTCTGTTGTGCCTTTGCTCCTCAGTTTTGATTCCATTCCCAGCAGTTTCCCCTTAGTATGTAAGCTTATTCTAACAGAGAGCCATAGTTGGTCATTTCCAAGAGTTCATAGGAGCTAGTATTTCATTCTCACTGTGGACCCCTTTGCTGTTAGATTGGACAGCAACTCGCCTGTCATAAAGTTGATCTGCCATGCTTTCTATTGAATACCTACCTACCTTTTAGCTATTTCGGGCTTCTCTTGTTCTCAGGTGTATCATACACCTTGTTGATCCCTTTGCTTTCTTCTGCACTACTGCATGTGAGCACTCAGGTGCCATGGCTGTTGGTTTGTCCTCATCTGCTTGGAATTTAGGGGAGACAAAACCTTTTCTCCTAGTTTTGTTGTGAATTCGCCGTTGGGTTTTTTTGCTGCATTAGGTCTCTGTGTTTCCCTTGGGATTCAGAGACATAAGAACACTACCTTCCCAAGATTTTCCCCTAAAAGCCTATTTTAGGGACAACTTTGAAAAATAAAATTCCAGAGAAGAAATTGCAGGGTTAATAAATTTATTAAAGCATCCTATACAGTAATATAGGAATCTTGTTTTTCCCAAGTTCTTTTAAAAATCATGCCACATTCATAAAGTCTCCAAATTATATAGTTGAATGTTCAAGAAAGACTAGGATTGGGTGATGAATTGTCTTTCAGAATTAGAGCATCATTAGACATTTGAATGCATTATTCTGAAGAACAGGATTTTATTGTCAATGACTGCAGAGCTTTAACCTTGGTATTAATAGCTTCCTCTTCCTACTTAGAGATGTAAGCTAAAATATTTTTACCTTATGTGTGTATTTACATACTTTATGTATTTTTAAAAAGATTTACTTATTTTAGAGAGAGAGTACGAGCAGGGAGAGGGGCAGAGGAAAAGAGTGATTCCTTGAGCAGACTCCCCTCTGAGCGCGGAGCCTGACACCACGGGGCTCCATCCTAGGACTATGTGATCATGACCTGAGTTGAAATCAAGAGATGGAGGCTTAAGTGACTGAGCCACCCAGGCGCCCCAAATATTATACGTGTTTTTAAATGACCACAGTATAGTCTGTTCTGCTACAGTAAATATGTAATTCCACAACATCAATTAGCTTATAGACTCTTGATAAATAGGGGAATAGTGTCAGTATAACATGGGTAGTGCATTGCCTTATACATGACTTTTTCCTAAACTAGACAAGGGGATCCTGAATAAAGGGAGTTGAATTTTTTTTTAAGATTTATTTATTTGAGAGAGAGACAGCAGAGGAGCACAAGCATGGAGGGAAGGGGGGGCAGAGGGAGAGAGAGTCTTTTTTTTTTTTTAAGATTTTATTTATTTATTTGACAGAGAGAGACACACAAGCAGGGGGAGTGGGAGAGGGAGAAGCAGGCTTCCTGCAGAGCAGGGAGCCCGATGCGGGGCTTGATCCCAGGACCCTGGCATCATGACCTGAGCCCAAGGCAGACGCTTAATGACTGAGCCACCCAGGTGCCCCGAGAGAGTCTTTTAAGCAGACTCCATGCTGAACAGGCTCAGCTTGGTCTCAACGACCCTGAGATCACGATCTAAGCTAAAACCAAGAGTCGGACATTTAACCCACTGTGCCTTCCAGGTGCCCCAGGGAGTTGAATTTTATATTTCATCAGGAAAGTAAAACACTTTAAATTCAGCTGCTACAGAAACAAAAGCACCCCCTCCCAAACACACACACACAGAGGTTTTAATTAGAAGTGATAATTAGCAGCGGCAGGGAAGGGGGGTTCCCTCCTAGAGAAGTACACTCTGGTCTAGCAGGGACTCTTCTCATGTGGCAGTCTGCATTTCTTTTTGTGTCCATCTTAGCCCTACTGTCTTAAAGCTCCACGTCTCAGTTCCCATAAGCCCTTGTTTCTCTTTCTCTCTTTTTATTACCTTTTATTAAGCCCTGAGGTAGCATTTCAGCTGCTGTTAGCTGCCTCACTGGGGTGTCCAAGTTATCTCTGGAGGTGTCCCAATCATTGTTTTTGTTAGTGCTATGGTTACAGAGTTAACGGGGCATTGACTGATCTGTCTTGTGTACCTCTCTCTACCCTCCCGGACCAATTATTTTTTCCTTAAGCCTTGTTATTTTTAGTGTTGCAGAATGCAGGATTTTCAGGAATGTAAGTATTTGTGTTAGAGCAGATGTACTAAGAGACTTCTTCAAGAAGATGCTGGAGCTTAGTGTTGTTGGCTTTGTGGCATTATTTCTGTTCTTGAAGGACTTTGTAAGAGAGTTCTGTTTTCTGGCAATGGAGGTCAATGTTTGGAATATGAGGCTTACTAGTCATTTTAAAATGCAGGGGAATGATAAATAGTAACTGAAGAATTTTGTTGTGGATCACTGCAGCATTCTTTTGTGCTGTAATGACATTGTTTTAACAGAGATATCTAAAATTAGAGAAACTACTGAGTAAAAGTAAATTTCTGTATGGTATGATATGGAGTGATGTATTTTGATATTATCTTTGTTTGGTTTTGATCCAAGTAGGGAATTATTGTTTAGGAAAGTTTAGCTTTTTAATAATCTTTAATATCTTTTTTTTTTTCCTTCCAAGATTTTATTTAAATCCAAGTTAGTTAACATGTAGTGTAGTATTGGTTTCAGGAGTAGAATTGATCCAAATAGGGAATTGTAATTGTGGCCATTTACAATACCAAGGTTTGTTTTAGAAATAATAAAATGATATTCAACCTTTAGAAAATGCACAGTAGCATCTTATTTGCTCTGGTATAAAAGCATTGGATACAAATATTCAGTACAAATAAAGGAGTTATTCCTGTTGAATAAGAATAGTGATTATACATACAGATTATATTTAATAATAGATTTAAAAATCTAATCCTTACCAAAAGATACTAAGTAGTCTCATTAAAACAGCAAGGAATTGGGGCACTGGGTTTCCTCAGTTGGTAGAGCATGCGATTCTTCATCTCAGGGTTGTGAGTTAGGGTCCCACGTTGGGTGTAGAGATTACTAAAAAACAAACAAGAAAACCAAGGAATTATATGCCAGTATTACAGTAATGTAAGAAAACCATTCATGTAGTAGATGGCTCTAGAAAAATTTTACAAATGAGAAAAATAGATGTACAAATGAAGAAAAATCAGTATACTCTGAGAGTATACTTGGCGTCTAGTCTTTTAGTCAATACCGCAAAAAATGTGGATTTGCCCCGTATAAAAGGAAATGAATAGAGAGCTTTCTTAGGGAGTAGACTCCTTGGTGTTAATTTGGGCATTTAAAGAATTGAGGTTGGCATTGGGGTGCGGCATTGGCAGGCCCTGTTATTTTTGGTAATATGTGATATGCCAGCAAATTCCAGTGGGGTTCTCTCTCTTACCCGGAGTGCTCAAGAAAACAACCACTGTTCTTTCGGACAAGTCTCTAAGAATATGGGAAAATTGCTGAAAACTCAGAGGATATTATACAATTGAGTATTTCAGTAGCACAGTTTATTTTTTTAAATTCTTTTTTAAAAAGATTTTATTTATTTATTTGAGGGAGAGAGAGAGCACAAGACGGGGGAGGGCCAGAGGGAGAAGCAGACTCCCCACTGAGCAGGGAGCCCGATGTGGGACATGGTCCTGGGACTCTGGGATCATCACCTGAGCCAAAGGCAGACGCTTAACTGACTGAGCCACCCAGGCGCCCAGCACAGACAGTTTAATGGACCCTGGGGAAAGGATCTGAATTGTGAGGATGCTGTAGTTATATTTGTGTATTGTAAGTGCATTAATAATAAACCTCTTACAACATTGTCAAATTTTTCCTTTGTTTTTAAGCACTGTTGGATATTATGTAATTCTATTTTGTTTCTCCTGGATGTGAAAAACGGAAAATATATTACACATATTGTATCTATTTTTAAAAATTGAGGTATAATTGGGATATACAGCATTATATTAGTTTCAGTGTAAAACATAATGATTTGATATTTATATATATGTGTGTGTTGTAAAATGATCATCACAATAAGCCTAGCTAACATCCGTTACCATAGTTAGAACTTTTTTGTGATGAGAAGTTTTAAAATTTACTCTCTTAGCAACTTTCAGATATGCAGTACTGTATTAACTGTAGTTGCCATGCTGTGCATTACATTTCCATGACTTAACTTATTTTAGAAATAAAATTTGTACCTTTTGACTCCACCCATTTTGCCAGCCCCCATCCCCCACCTCTGGCAACCACCAGTCTGTTCTCTGTGTCTATGAGCGGAGTCTTTTTTTCATTTGTTATTTAGATTCCACATAAAAGTGAGGTCATACAGTATTTTAAGTATCTTCACTTAGCACATCCATGTTGTCCATCCATGTTGTCACAAGTGGCAAGATTTCATTCTTTTTAATGGCTGAATAATACTCTAGTGTGTGTGTGTGTTTGTGTGTGTATGTATCCCCCATACAGTCTATCCATTCATCAACAGATGAACACTTAAGTTGTGTCTGTTGGCTGTTGTAAATAATGCTGCAGTGAACATGGGGGTACATATCATATTTTATAAGTGTAATCTATAAGGCAGAATGCCTATGCTCAATGCATGTTTTTTTCCTCATATCTTAAGGAAGAGAGAGAAAATCCTTCGAAACGGAGTAGGATTGAACGTGATATAGATAATAATTTGATCACATCAACACCAAGAGCAGGAGAAAAGCCTAACAAACAGTTATCTCGAGTAAGACGGAAAAGTCAAGTAAATGGAGGTTTGTTAATATTTAGATATTGTTCTATTAGGTGTAAGCAGAGATCTCACCTGTCATGTTTATTTTCTGTTTTTAAAAATTGACTCTGCAGTTTTCCCCTTATTTTTGTAATATTCTTTGTATTAAGTATTAGTAGCATGAAATAAAAATTTATCTAATACTAATCTACTTTGCTGAGTTAAAATAAGTAAAGGCAGAGCAACTAGCTTTATACTGTTTATCATAAAAATGTATACGGAACATTTTCGACCTCTAATAAAACTCCGTTCTTAAAGCAGTAATAACTGTGGCTTAATTTATTGAAATATGTACAAAGAATTTGTTTCTGGATCATGGAATTTCAGAGCTCAGAGAGGGCTTGTATCACTTGGGACAGTGGTTCTTAACTAGGGGTGGTTTTGTCCCCAGGGGACATTTGTTAATATCTGGAGACCCTTTTGGTTGTCACAACCTGTTCGGGGGTTACTACTCATATCTAACAGGTAGAGGTTAGGGATGCTGCTAAACATCCTACAATGTACAGGACATCCTCCTTCAATAAAGAATTATCCAGCCCAAAAATCAATAGTGCTGCTGTTGATAAACCTTGTTCTAGATCAATATGTTAAAAGATTGCTGGGAAGCTCCTAAGTCAAACAGGAAAAAATCAAGAAGGACAAGCAGAGAAAGCTATAAAAAACAACACTTTAGAGCATTGATTACTGCATTTAACCATTGCTGTTTTAAACACAACAGCAAGAATAATTTCTTACCTCTTTCCCCTCAATTCAGTGTTGTATCTCTACTGTTAGAATTGACTATTAGGGAAAAAGAAACAAAAGACCTACCACAAAGAAGGAAAGAATGTGGTAGATATCAAGTAAAGTTGTGGAAGGTCAAGGATGATTAATCAAAACACATTTGTTTGAATTTGTTTTTACTGTATCGTTTCCAAAAACCCATGAAAATTTTTTTATTCATAAGAAACTAAAAAAACAAAAGACAGAAAAACCTGTTTGTTCTTAATCACTCTGAAATGATGCCTGGGTATACATAAGTAACTGACACTGCTATACAGTCTTCTGCTTCAGTAGATCTATGTTGCCTCTATTTATTTAGCTGTTATTCACTACTAATAGATTGGTTTTGTGAAGTAGGCAGCCTCACAAAATGTAAATAAGGGCAGGATCTTGCATTTATGTTTTTGATGTTGTAATCTGCTTTATTTACAAAGAGTTTATTTCATTATCTGTTACACTGTGGATTTTGAAGCCTTTCAGTCTATATACTTCTAGATGTAAACGTGCTTTGTAGCAGTTGTAAAACATTATAAATAAACTTGTTATAAAAATCATTTGATTTACAATTTATTTACCTCAGGATATTTTTAACTAATCAGTTTTTTTAACAGTAAATGTTAATCAGTTTTTATGAAGTATTTTGAGGCAAAAAATTATTTTCATAATGAATTGTTTAAAACATTTCTTAAAGTCATGTTTTCTAGATTGCAACTTTTTTCTTGTTTCTTTCTTAGAAGCTGGTAGTTATGAAATGACAAATCAACATGTAAAACAAAATGGAAAATTAGAAGATAATCCTTCCTCTGGCAGTCCTCCAAGGACTACATTGTTGGGGACCATATTTTCTCCTGTCTTCAACTTTTTTTCACCAGCAAATAAAAATGGTAAGTATAAACTATTACCTATAATTTGGGTTTAAAAAATTAATAGTTTTCCTAGGTTTTTAAAAGATCTGTTTGATTTTACTGGCATATTTTATCAGCATCTTATGTTTGTTTTCAGCCTCATTAAAAACACACAGCTCCTCAAGAAAAAGAGAGAAAAAAAAATACAGAGCTCCTAAAAGTTTGTGTTTTTTTGTTTATAGTGGCTGAAATAAATTTAGGTCATGTTTAATTCTGTTGAAGTACATGAACTCCACTTTCACTATCTGAAAAGCTAAATGATAAACTTTGGGCTGGAGGGAAAGTAATTTCTTTTATGTTGGAATGACTTCTGTAATCCTTAGTGTGTACAGGAGAGGATCCAGAAATATTTTCAGTATTCTAGATCAATAAAGTAGAATTTTTAAAATATTTTAAGTGAACTGAAACTAGGTCATTTTTTGTAACACATTTTTATCATTTGTTTTTTAAAAATTTTATTTATTTATTTGACAGAGAAAGATAGAGCAGGAACACAAGTAGGGGGAGTGGGAGAGGGAGAAGCAGACTCCGGCTGAGCAGGGAGCCCGATGTGGGGCTAGATCCCAGGACCCTGGGATCATGACCTGAGCCGAAGGCAGACGCTTAACGACTGAGCCACCCAGGCACCCCCATTTTTATCATTTGTAACACATTTTATTTATCATTCATCATTTATCATCAAAGAACCCCTAGGGATCTTTAATTTGGAAAATTAATACTGTAATGCAAATGAATTGAAGGTTTTCATTATATAATGCCTTTGCAAAAGAATCAAACTTGGATTGTTTCCCAACATTTTTTTTTAAAGATTTTATTTATTTATTTGGCTGAGAGAGAGATAGTGAGAGCCGGAACACAAGCAGGGGGAGTGGGAGAGGGAGAAAGCAGGCTTCCTGCTGAGCAGGGAGCCCGATATGGGACTCAATCCCAGGACCCTGGGATCATGACCTGAGCCGAAGGCAGACGCTTAACAGCTGAGCCACCCAGGCGCCCCCAACATTTTTTTTTTAAAAGATTTTATTTGAGAGAGTGCTCACACCCTAGGAGAGGGAGAGAAAGAGAATCCCAAGCAGACTCCGTGCTGAGTATGGGACCCAGTGTGGGGCTCAACCCTATAACCCTGAGATCATGAGCCAAGCTGAAACCAAGAGGTGGATACCCAGTGGACTGAGCTACCCAGGTGTCCTGCCCAACATACATTTTTAAAAAGATTTAGCTAGTGTCCTGTCTTTTTTGATGATTAATTCTTAATTTCATAAATGATAATTTAGTCTTTAGATTATGTGAGGGCAAGAGTTCATGTCTTTATTTTTGCATCTGCCATGTTGTTTGATATAGTACAGGGCACATGGAAAATAGTCATTAAATGCTTGTTGCTTGATTATTTAAATTCTAGTTTGAATTATGTTTCTGGATGATAATACAATTTTTAAAAGACAGAATGGTGCACTATAAAACCTAGATGCTCTGAGGGCTAAAAATAATGCATATTGGCACATGAAAGGACTTGTGAAGTCCTATAGTAGAAATAAAACAACAAACTATCTTTAACTTTGTTTAACCCCGTATTTCCTAGGCATATTTGACCCCAAGAACCCTTTTCTGTGGAACATCTATGAACATCTTGTAAAACTAGTACCCCTTAGAACATCTTTGGAAATGGCTGGTGTGGTGGAAAAAGAATGGGCATTGGAATTAGAGAAGCTTGTTTTAAAATTCCAGCTCTGCCACTCTTTAACTATGTTACCTTGGTCCAGTTCTTTAAATTGAGCCTCTTAATCTGTGAGAGAAGATAATTATACTTAAGTATGGGACAGGGGTAATTTGAAGATTTCAATTCATTCAGTTCAATATTTGCCATGTCCCAGCCATTGTACTAGGCCCTGGAGATTCAAGGATGATTAACACATGGTCCCTGCCCTCAAGGAGCTTGCTTTTTTACAAGAGGGAGAGAGATCCATAATAGGTATAATAAATTTTTATAAGTGCATTGACAGAGGTATGGGGCAGTGATGTGTTCAAAGAATGGAATGGTTCTGTATTCTTGGTGGCATCTAACAATAGTCTTTTTAGAAAAGCTGAATCTTGAAAGGTGGTAAAGGGCATTTCAGGTAGAATGAGCCATACGAGCAAAGGCATTCTGTGTTTGAGAAACAAATTAGTTCGTTACAGATGGAGCACTGGATGTGAGGAGTGCATAGGATGGGTTAAGGTAGAGTTATAAAGTTGGCAAATTAAAGCTAACAGGGTAAGATAATTGAATTTTAATTTTATCCTTAGTGGAGGATGATTGAAAGGTTTTGAACTGGTGAGTAGTATGAACAGATTTGTGTTTTTAAAGCTCTTTGGCAGTAGTGTGTTGGCTACATTCTAAAAAGGTTGGATGTGGGGAAAACAATTAGACTTATAGTCCATGTGAGACTTCATACAACCTTAATGGTGATACTAGAGAAAAGAAGGGTCAGAGATACAGAATGGAGATGAAGGAGACAAGAGATTAAGAGGACACAAGGTTATTTTTTCAAGAGCAAGAAGTTATGTTTCAGGAGATAGATAACTGAATTTAATTTGGGCCATGCTGTGTTTGAGATGCCATGAAACAACCAAATATAATGTCTGGTAGCCATCTGCCTTCTGGTGTGGTGTGGAGCTTAGAAATCTGGGTTTAAGCAATAGTCTGTTGTATTACCAGCTTATAGGTATTAGTTAAAACTAGTGGAGTACATGGTGTATATGGTTCAGTGACCTAAGATCTTGGGGGAATAAATGTTTGGACAGAAGTTGATGTTTCATAGTTACAACTTTTTCTTTGAGGGAGGTGATGGTGCCATGTGCTGAGATTCCTGGTGGCAGGAATTGAAGAGAACAGTGAAGGTTTACAATATTTGCTTTTGGGTATAATTAAAAGAAACACACCCACCCATCCACCCACCCACCAGTAAGCCTGTAAGTTACATTGATTCAAGAGGGATTTCTGTGATGGATGACAGTGGAAAGACAAGGGAACAAGGACCCTGAAGCTGCTGGCTTGAGAGTGGTTTAAGTGATATACCATGAAATCTAACTAGATGAGAAGGGTGGGGAAGGAGCCGTTGAGGGATTGTTTAGAATGAAAGAGACTGGCTTTTATCAAACATGAAGATCACATGTAATAGGAATATGAGATAGATAATTAAAAGATTAGGAGGTTATGGTAGGGGATTGATATGCTTGAACTTTAGTTTTCAGAGATGAACCTTTTCTTAGTGTGAATGTCCAGGTTATGATCATGGTAGTTGCTTAAGAAAGCAGTATGAATGAAGAAGGAGCAAAAGAGGGCAAAACCTTTGAGGATTAGTCTTAGGATGAGTCATTGACATCACCTGTAGGAGGTGTTTAATAGAGCTTTAAACTGGTAGCTAGGTGTTAAATTCCTCTGGTTGAGAGAGGATGCTGGCAGCAGTTGGTAGATGTCAGCAGTGGGGATAAGTGAAGAATTATATAGCTAGGTGACATCAGTCTCAAAGGAACAGGCATTTTTTTTGCAAATTCAGTGGAAAACCATTGATCTGGTAGCAGCAATAGAGATAAATGAATTCTGATTCAGTTAGTATGTTGAATGTGGAAGAATAAAGAGCTTTGTGGGAAAGATGTCAAGAAAAGATGTTTTTTGGAAAGGGGTTAGTTACATTTAAAGCTATGACAGAGAAGGAACATTCTGTGAGAAAGTTGAGAGTATGGGAGGTTGATTTTGTTGTTGAAAATGACATTTGGAGGATTCCATAAAGAAATAGAGTTGGGCAACAGGGTCATCTAGGTGGTGGCTGAGTATGATTAGGAAACTAACTTCAGTCTTTGTTACTGAGATAGAATCTTGTTAGGAAATTGTTCTTGTGTCTCTGAATAAAAATGTTATGATTAGGGGAACAGTTAGCTCATTCTTGCATAACTACCTCTGGTTTAAAAATTATAACTGCCTACAGTGGCTAGGATGCTTAGTACTGGAAGGATCAGGAGCTGTTTAATGGAAATGATAATGGAAAAAATATATATATAATGCCTAGCTCATAGTAGGCATTTAATAAATGATATTTGCTTTATAGAAAAGAAGTTTTATAGTCAACAGTACTGTATTGTATACTTCAAAGTTGCAAAGAGACTAGATAGCTTTTCTCACCACAGAAAAATGGTAATGATGTGGCAGGTAGAGGTGTTAGCCTAATGCTAGGTTGGTAATCATATTGCAGTATATAAATGTATTAAATCAGCACATACACCTGAAACTTATACAAGGTTATATTGTCAGTTATGTATCAAAAATTTTTTAAAATTCTAAATTATGACTGTGGTTTGACTATAAATAGGTGTTTCTAAACTATGTGAACACTTAAGAAAATTTTGTTCACCAATATCACTCTAGCTTATAATAGTCTTTATTACTGATTATTTGAAATGTCTAGAAAAGACTCACTAAACAGTGGTATCCTCAGCTCTGTTTCTGTTGCATTTAGTTTTTCCAAGTATTTATGAGTTTTTCATTATTTAATTTCACTTTTATTAAAATATATTTCACATACAACATTATGTAAATTTAAGGATAAACAAGTTGATTTGATAAATTTATATATTGTAATATGATTGCTATGTAACAGTAATTAGCACCTCTATCACATTACATAATTATCTTTTCATTTTAGTGGTTAGAACAATTAAGTTTTATGCTCTTAGCAAGTTTGATGATTATAATACAATATTTGTCTATATTCACTCTACGGTGCATTAGGTCTCTAGGGCTTATGTTTGCTTGCTATAAGTTTGTACCCTTAAAAACATCTATGCCTCTCCCCCCACCCCCTTTTGAGTTTTTAAATGATGGTTGTGAGCATACTGAATCTTGATTACAGGAACATCAGGATCCGATTCCCCAGGACAGGCTGTGGAAGCTGAAGAGATAGTAAAACAACTTGATATGGAACAGGTGGATGAGATCACTACCAGTACTACTACATCAACGAATGGAGCAGCTTACTCAAATCAAGCAGTTCAAGTGAGGCCATCGATAAATAATGGTTTAGAAGAAGCAGAAGAAACAGTTAATCGTGATATCCCACCCCTTACAGGTGAAGAAAATTCCTTTTCTTAATGCATCTTCATGAATAATGTATAAAAATGCAGGATTTCTTTTTTTCTTTAATAGAGCAAATGCGTAAGTTTTTCCTTCTTGAACATAAAACAATTAAAATTGGAAATAAAACTTTCTCCCCCAAATCTGGTCATTTTGAAATTGAATTTTTTAAAAGGTTGTTTTGACTGAGCATTAGTCATCTTACAGTTTATTTGTACTAATCTGACTACTTAGAAATTTAACACAAATAGGGGCGCCTGGGTGGCTCAGTTGGTTAAGCGACTGCCTTCGGCTCAGGTCATGGTCCTGGAGTCCCAGGATCGAGTCCCACATCGGGCTCCCTGCTCAGCAGGGAGTGTTTCTCCCTCTGACTCTCCTCCCTCTCATGCTCTCTCTCTATCATTCTCTCTCTCTCTCTCAATAAATAAAAATCTTTAAAAAAAATTTAACACAAATAGCAAAACATATGCTCATGTTTATGAACACACTTATTATAATTGCACTAGTCTCAGACCCTTCGGTCTGAAATTCCCACCTAAAGGCAGCCTTATACCTTCAGATTTGTTGCATATATAGATGACATCCCCCCAAAAGAAGCTTCTTTTCCTAGATCTTTCCCTACATCCAAACTTTGCAGCCTAATTCTGGATCCTTATAAAGGCCTACCATAATTGTTGGGTCCCTGAGCCAGTTGTCATGGAAATGTAGAACATATGAGATCAGAATTTATTACCTCTGAGGGTTGTGGTATACAGATGTATAAAGCTAAAAGATGAAACTGTTCCATCATGCTTAAAAATGCAGAAATAAGATTGAGGATGGTCATCTTTTCCCAGATGGACAAGATCTTGGGCTTTTGTTTTAGATTTGTCTTTTTATTTCCTATAATGCCAGGCATTTGAGAGACCCTAGCACATATGTATTGGTTCAGAAATGTAGTTTGGCATAAGGACGTGGAATGATGTTCTTCCCTTGAATATAAGGGGAAACTTGAAAAAATATAATCAAAACGGCAGAAAACATTTAAAGAAAAAATGCTACAGTTATGAAACTTCTATATAGGGCAACCCAGTAATACCAATATGAAGAGAAAAGCGACATAACAGAAAGATTTATTTTAAATTGGTCAAATAAAAGATTAATTTCTATAGTGTTAAACGTAGGATCTATAATGTTAAATTATAATGTTATTTTTTTTAAAGATTTTACTTATTTATTTGATAGAACACAAGCAGGGGGAATGGCGGGCAGAGGGAGAAGCAGACTCCCTACTGAGCAGGGGACCCAATGCGGGACTCGATCCCAGGACCCTGGGATCGTGACCTGAGCCGAAGGCAGACACTTACCGACTGAGCCACACAGGCATCCTATAATGTTATATTTTAAGAATAATACTGAATCTGTCAAATCAACATGGATTATGTACATAGTTCATTCTTGGGCAGATAAGATTTGCAAAGGAATCTACTCTTCACCTGTCATTTTATGCTCATTCCTTGCCTGTGTTTGGGCGTATAGACTAAGTCCACGGCTTTGGACCTCTTGTTTGGTGTTTGTTCTATATTTTTGTGCTGCTGTATAATCCTGTGTATTTATTTTTTTCCTGACAACTGTGAAGATGGAGAAGGGATTTCTATAGCATTAGTGGTTTCTGGAGGGGGAGGGGAGTAAAATTTACTCCAGTTGTCGCATTTACTCATTTCCTTAACTTTTATCGAACACCTATTTTCTGTGATGGACATTATTTATAAACATGAATAAGATAAATGCTCCTTGACCCTGAAGAGTACATTATCTAATTGATGAGCCAGGTAATCACAAAAATTACTGTACAGTGTGGTGAGTGCTATTAGAAATAAATGTGCAGAATGATGAGTTGGCAGATTGCATTCACTCTGGATCATGACAGGATAGAAGTAAAATTTTTGCTGATCTTAAAAGATGAGTATGAGTGACAAAGATTATTACTTTTCCTTAACTTCAAGAACCTAGTCAAAGAGAACTAGAAGGAAGGAGGCTGGCTCTGTCATTTACCTAGCTTTGTGACTTTAGACAACTTACTTAAGCTCTCTGAGATGGTTTTCTTACCTTTAAAAGGGAAATAATTCAGGGTTATTAAAGCTAAATGGGATGAAATAAGAAAAGTGCTTAGCATGAAGGCACTCAAATACTGCTTCCTTTCCCCCTTTTTCTGAAGTTAATAGGAATTTGAAACAGAAGTGGTTAGAAGGTATATTTTTCCATTACCCCTTGTGCTAATGAACTGTTACTGGCATGAAATTACAGATGGACAAAAATTATGCTTTACCTCTGTTGTCATTCACTGAACATACCTAATACATACTGTGTTACAAGGTAATACATAAAGAATTATTACATGATAGGGGTGCCTGGGTGGCTTAGTCAGTTCAGTGTCCGACTCTTGGTTTCGGCTCAGGTCATGATCTCAGGGTCATGAGATGGAGCCCCATGTCAGGCTCTACGCTCATTGCAGAGTCTGCTTGAGATTCTCTCCCTTTTCTTCTCCCTCCCTCTTTGCCTCTTTCCCCACTCATGCATTCACTCAGTCTGTCTCTCTAAAATAAATAAAATCATTTTAAAAAGAATACATACATGGTAATAGCAAAAAAGATTTTGTTTTCCTTTGACTATTATCCACCAATATTCCATTCCTATAGGCAGATTATAGCAGTTTTAGTGAGTTCCACTGTCTTAGTCCTTTTGGGCTGCAATAACTACCACAGACTAGGTGGCATATACACAGCAGAAATTTATTTCTCATGGTTTAGGAGGCTGGGAAAGCCAAGATCAGAGCACCAAGCAGATTCATTACCTGGTGAGAGCCTGCTTTCTGGTTCATAAACAATTATTTCTCATGCACCCTTACATGGCACAAGCTATGTGAACTCTCTGGAGGCTCTTTTATAAGGGCACTAATCCCATTCATGAGGGCTCCACCCTCATGACCTAATGACCTCATGACATCCTAAAGTCTCCACCTCTAAATACCATTTTGTGGGGACACAAACATTGTCTCTAGCATCCATCTTGAACTTTTATCTCTGAGACATTAAGTCTAACTTAGAATTTTACCTTTTGTCCTTTCCTTGAATTTAAGTTATAATTATTGTCTTAGAAAATTCCCAGCATAATTTTTTTTTTTAAGTTTTTTGTTTATTTAAGTACTCTCTGCACCCACCATGAGGCTTGAACTCCTGACCCTGAGATCCAGAGTCACATGCTCTTCCGACTAAGCCAGCCAGGCTCCCCTCCCAGCATTATTTCTAATGCTCTGATAGAATTTTAGCTTAAATGTAGGATGGACCATTTGTCATGGAATAGAGAATTACTTCATGATTATTTTTAGGTTGCTTGTAAATTAGAAGTAAAATAAGGCCTCTTCTAAAGCAATGGTTTCTATATAAAGCAGCATTTTTTAACTTTATAAAAGATTTTAGACAGCCTTGAGATTCCTGTAAAAATGTACATACAACATTTTTCATAAGTCTTCAGGGGGTTTCATGAACCTCTTAAAGACTGTTCATAGATCTCAGGTTAAAAACTCTCTCTCGGTCTAAGGTCAGCACTGCGTGTATATGTACGTACAAGGTACTTTGCAAAGTGTCACTGCTTACAAGAGCCCCGTGAAATTTTTATGTTTATACATATAACATCATGCAGTTAGAAATTGAAATTTCGTGGAGTGTATGATTCTGGTAATAAGTAGTAAATTTTCTCTTTGCTGTGAGGGATTTTAATTCTGCCAGCCATGATCTAGCTTCTATTTTATCTATAAATGGCAGTTTTTTTCCTTTGGATCTGGAGTTAGATCTATGTATTAATAAATTTGCTTTGCAATACTGTTTGTAAGTTATTTCTGTCATTTTCTTGAACCTAAAATACATAGGGCTTCAGGAAAATCTTATATAAAAACGGTAAAAATGTATACTTCATAGTGAGTAAAAATAACATTTTGTTTTTCATTTTATTAAATAGCACCAGTAACTCCAGATAGTGGTTATTCATCAACTCACGCAGAGGCTACCTATGAAGAAGACTGGGAAGTATTTGACCCGTGAGTTTTTTGTTTTTTTGTTTTCCTTTCCCTCTTGGAGCAGAATGAAAGACATGTGTGGAGGGGTGGCTGAATGGTATATTGCAAAGAACATGTAACTTGTAGGTTACTGAAATATTTTATATTTTCAGTTTTATTTACCTTTCATAGGTTTGGTTTACTAGATTAAAATGTATTATTTAATTAAAGATTTAAATATGAGCTGAATTTAGTAATATGTCTTATATTTATAAAATGTAGAAATGTTGAGATTTTCTTAAAATTTGATTTGTAGGTATTATTTCATCAAACATGTTCCACCACTAACAGAAGAACAACTAAATAGGAAACCTGCTCTTCCATTGAAAACAAGAAGCACACCAGAATTCTCCCTAGTTTTAGACCTGGTAAGTATATTGTATGTACAGGTAGAGAAAATAAAGGAGTTAAATTTCTTTTTTAAAAACTCTAGCCCAAAATACCTACGAGGATAAAAGTGAATGTAAATAGTCTTACACATTTACTAAACATGTCTTAGATGTTCTGAAATGTTTTTATTTGAAGCATAGTCAAATGCCAAGGTCCTCAGTTTGGTATCAGGTACTCTTTGAAAATAAATTAGGCTTTCATTTTTGTATTTAAATTAGTTCTTTCCCCCATATTTCTGAGACCCTTGCGATTTTTTTTTTTTTAATTTCCCGATAAATTCTTTCATTTCATGCTTAGATTTTGCCTTTTGTGGGGGGTGTCAGGATTATATTTCCTTGAAGAACCAAATATTATTTGGGTCCCAATGAATTAACCTTATGCAAGATTATAGCCCTTTTTGTCTTATTTTTGTGCAGTATCTAATACCAATAACTTTATTAATAGACTCCCAAAAACATGATGTCTTAATGGTAATAAAATCTTTAATATGCTGTCTTGGTGTGTTAAAAATTTATGTTTTAGGGTACCAGAAGTGCTTTGAGAACCGAACACCTACCTATTATATAATATTGGGAAGCATTTTATTATTTAGCCTTTGTTACTGGTATCCTGTAATTGGAAATGTGGTTTATTTCTCGTAAAATTTTTTTCTTGAGGAAAAGTTTATTATTTTAAATCTTAACTAGCATGTATAGTTCTTTTTTGAGAGTTCAGCACCTTAGCCTTTGTCTAGCCAGAGAGAGGTAAGAGAGGTCTCCAGAGGTCCTAAGTATTAGGTATTTATTAGAGGATAAGTAGCAAGAGAAAAATTTTGAAACTGATCATGAGTAGTGTAGATTTGATGTACAAGTTAGTGGAGAAACTGAAAAAAGAGATTTTGCAAGATTTTTGTGTTAGGAGTTAATGTGGTCATGATAGCAACCTTGACCATATAATTTTTAATCCAATGTGGAGGTAGACAGAAAAGAAAAGATAGAATTTGGCTCAGCATAAATGAGTAATTTTATAGAAATAAATGAAGAATGATCAAAATTTAGATAGTCTATAGATGAAGAAGTAGTAGAATTAGTTATGATTCAGTTGAAGGAAAGAGGATACCTTTTTTTAAGATGTTAAGACAATACCTTGAAATGTGTAGACTGATATGCTATTAAAAGAAAATGAGGCATATCTAGAGTATTTTTTGCTCTTTGCCTCCCCAGAGTTAACTTTAGGTTAAAAGAAACACTCCAGCTAATAAGATGTGGAATCACAAGGTATGAACATTTGTGTTTCATTTTAATCCATTGTAAATGCATTGGAAAATTTTGGGGTTAGTCATTGGCAGCTTTTTTTTTAAAAAAAGTGTTTTATCACTTACTACAAATAGAACTGTTTTTTAATCATTCAGTATTTAAGAAATATAAATATTTGCACATATTTTAAATGGAATGATCCTCACCTTCTTATCCTCTTAATAAAAAACAGGGTTTGGTAATCAAAAATGACAAGTCTTCATTGACTGCTAATTTAGTTAAATAATGTTTTTGTCTGAAACATTCAACATACTAAGGCATCCATTTTACAAAATAAAAAACTTCATAAAAGTTTAAAGGATAAGGAGCTATCTGAATAGAATATATGTATTTTTAAAAATAATTAGATTCTAAACTTCCATTTGCTAATTGTTAAATAAAAGGAGCATATATTTATTTTACTTATCAGAAAGTTGGCAACTGCAGAACTCAGAACACTGGTTCTCAGACTTGAGCATGCATCGGGATCACCTAAAGGGCTTATTAAAATATAGATTGCTGAGCTCCTTTTTTCTTCATCCCCTTTTGAGTTTTTGAATTATCACAAGTGGAGCTGGAGAATTCACATTTCTAACTAGTTAAAATTTTGCATTTCTAACCCAGATGATGCTGATACTACTTGCTGGTCCAGAAACCATACCTGAGAACCAGTGGCTTAGAAAATTCTATTCCAAATTGCCATGCCACACACAGGAATGTATGATGAATACATATGAATGAGTGTTTTCATAAATGTTTCTGGTGGTCATGGGTACATAAAATTATCATTTGAAATTTTCTTTTAATATCTTGGTTTATTCGGTGTGTGCTTTTTATTTTAAGGATGAAACACTAGTACACTGTAGTCTAAATGAGCTAGAAGATGCAGCACTTACTTTTCCAGTCCTTTTCCAAGATGTCATTTATCAGGTAATTAAAAACAATTTTTAACTTGATATTTAGCCTGTTAGATAATGTTCTGAACCAAGAAATCTTTTGTAATTTTATTTGTGTGTGTAAAGTTTAATGTGTTTTTTCCTAATGGATTTCATCAATATATTACTGATTTATTAACACAAAGTAGCATCATGCTAAATAATTACATAAAACATTAAATGTTACCCAAAAATGTCAACTTTTTCAACCCAGTGATCTCTGCTAGTTTCATAATCTGTTTGCCAGCAGGTGGAGGCAGGAGCACTGACATCATAGATCCCCAAGAAGAACTTGCCAGGTTAACGCCTGGTGTTTTGTTTTTTGTGTGTGTTTTTTTTTTCCCCAAAAATCCAGTTAGTATAAAGAAACCTTATACCTTGTTCATTTTTATTTCCTTTTTTAGTAATATGGCTTGTAGATTGCAGTTTGGTATATCTACTTTATATTAATCACAGAATTCCAGGACACTTCCAGTTATTGCTTTAAAAATCTGGGTAAAAGCATTTCTCCCTCATCTGTGTTGATGGACAAGTAACCATGCAAAATGCAAAGATCATTTACATTTCACTGTGAATTATGTGTTGGCCATAGTTTTTTCTTTATGTTTGAGATTTTCCTATCATAAAATTTCAATTAATTTATACGAATACACTTTGAAAATTGCAAAGTGCCTTTCTGTGGTGGTGGTGGTGACTTAATTAGCATTACCTTCATACATACCAGTTGTTGAAGGGTTGGGAAAGGATCAAAAAGTTTGTTCTTTGTCAAGAGGAAGCCAACCCAAGGATTAAATAAAGCCACAGAACATTTACTGTGTGAATGATGCAAAGGTGTTCATGGCTGTTTGTGCTCTTAATAGGCAGTTAGAATATGGTATAGTTTTCTTGGCACATGATAGTTACTGTCTTTTGGGAATCAAAAAATTTCAGAGTTAAATAGAAGTTTGTGGTTCAGGATCTGCTTTACCTACTTTATCTTGTAATGAGTCATAAGAGAATTTATTTTAGCAATTCTTGTTAGTTCTGGTTTAACCTAGATAGGCATTGTAGGCATGCTAATATTTTGAGTATTATATTCATTTCCCTTCTATGGAGGCTTATTTTAGTTCTGGCTTTTGATTAGAGAATGAGCAAAATATACATAAAAATAAAGGATTGTAACATTTTTGTATTTCTTTTTAACTGGATATTATTTGGCTTAAGGTAATCTCTTTTCTTAATAAGACTTTTTTTGCCAAATGGGTTGTTCTTTTTTAGTTCACATCAAGGACAGGAGTCTTGTGGCAAATATAAATAGTATAGCAATATCTTAGTTCTCTCTTTTTAGCTTGATAAGCTTGTTTTTTGTTCAAAATTGCATTCAGGCTTTGAGTTTGGAAAGTTGTTTGCAAAATATTAAATAATTATTTTGGAATGACTGCTTAAGCTTTCAGATTTGAAATTTGTTTCTTGCAGATAGTTTTGGTTTGTTTATGTCATTTTTAATAGTTAAGTAAGAAACTTGGAAAGTAGATGAGTTTGATTCTTCCCTTTCATGAGTATTTCTTTTTATTGTGACCATAAAATTGAATTTTTTCTTGCTGCTTCCACCATTTCTGCCTTAATTCTCTTCTCTTTTTTTTTTATAAAATTCTTATTATTTTTATGTGGATCTGGATAGTTGTCTTATTTTGAATAAAAGTCTTGTAGCAGTGCATACAAGTAATACTTAATAAAAACCATATATGTACTGCATCTACCTCAGGAATTCAAAGAACTCTTTTTCATATATATTCTGAGTTATACTTTCTGAAACTGAAAAATAAATGATCTAGCCTAAATTAGGAGCAGTGAGCAGGAAGTTTCAATCTTATAAGTTAACAGAGACGATTGCATTTTATTATTATGATTTATTAGTTACTACATCATGTACAGAGTTTAGTCCCCCTTCAGTAAATTTTTGAGGATGTCCATAGTTAATATTGAGTATAATCCCTTGGATTTCTGGTTTTGGCATAGCCATTCTGTCTGCTTTTTTAAAAAGAACTTTGAAGAAATCTTGGGTTAGGGTTCCCCTAGTTTTCAGACCAGCAAGCTCCCTTTAAACAGGGAATGATGTCTTTTAAACTTTCAGTGGTGTTGTCTCCATCTACTGGCAAAGAAGAAATATACACAAGGGTCTGAGATGATCTAAGAGATTTTGGAGAAACCACATTATTAGGTAAGATGTAACTTACATATTTAACCACTGCAATATAATGTGGCCCACTTAAAGGTAGAAACCTGTAAAATACTGTATATACTCTTAAAAAATAATTCATTGAGGTGAAATTCACAACATAAACCATTTTTAAGCGAACAGTTCCATGGCATTTATCTATATACTCTTGAATCTGTCAGTTCCATAGCATTTATATAGCATAGTGTATACTCTTAAAAATAAACTGGTAATATTAAGGTAGGATCAGATTCTTCATCTGAATCAACACCAAGTGTCCTCTTGGGACTTATTTTAGTTTTAGTTTCTTTTTGTGGTAAGTTTGTTATGGTTGACCTATATCTAATTTTCATTCTACTTGTTATTTTTGTTTCTTTCAAAACAATTTAAAGTGTAAATTGTTTTACATATGTTTTAATAATCATCTATATTAGGGGTTGGCAAACATTTTCCTGAAAAGGGCCAGTTTTTATTATTTTAGGTTCTGCAGTCTCTGTTCCAAATGCTTTTTCTGCCATTGTAGCATGAAAGTAGTCATAGACCGTAAGTACATAATCAAATAAGCATGGCTGTGTCCCAGTAAAACTTTATTTACAAAAATAAGTGATAGTTTGTATTTGACCCACAAGCCATAGTTTGCTCACCCTTGGTGTAATAATTATGAGAGTATATACAGTAAATTTACTCAAATTCTAAGTGGAAGTAAGTAATAAAATGTTCATCAAAACTCTTATTAATATATAGAGAAATTTAAAACTAGATCCACTATAATAACCTGGTTGTGGGCTTTCTTAGTTTTTTCAGATGAAAGTTTAAGGGAAATTTAAGGTGACCACTACTCACATTTAAAGATTGCCTGACTAATGGTATATACTCTCCTTTTGATTGATAAGTGGGACTCAACTCACTTAATGCAGGTGTCAGAATTTTTGAGCAGGTCGATTATTCAAGCCTCAGTTTAGTACATTGAGTGTATTTGAATTCCATTTCTCTGGGGGATAAGAAATCCTAAAAGACACAATCAAATTAAAATTTGATACATGTTACTACTGACACTATATGGATAGACAGATTGTAGTTTGTGTAGTTGGAGAGAGAAAGTGATTCGAAAGAACTGAGTTTTTAAAGTGAGGGTATGGCACTCACAAAGGCAAAAGTAATGGATTTTTGTTTGAATGGGTTTTTTTTCCCTTTAAATTGGTTGTTTTTCCATATTATTTTATAATTAGTTATTGGGAAAACGTATTTATTCATAGAATGGTGCAAATGCATTTGATATCTGAAAAAACAAGTGCATGATCAGTTCCAGTGCACATATTTAATCTTTATATTTAGCTTATATTGACACATTATCAGGAAATCCATCTCGTGGTGTTACTCAGTTAAGAGGTCTCCACTGTATTTAGTTTCTGTTCCTGCAGATCCACCAATTCAAGACTCTAGGTCATCTCACTCCCTCTTCCATCCAGAAGATGACTTCTATCCACAAGCAGGACTGAATCAAAAGACAGATTTTTCACTTAGCTCTTGAGCTGAACCACCTCCTCAATGACCTTCCTCTATCTCCATCAAGAACTGGAGCTCAGTTTTTTGAAGATGTAATAGAGCTACTCAGCCCAAACGTGGCTAATTGAAGACAAAAAGAAGATGCCTCATATGTTTCACCACAGTACAGCCAAACGTAACTGTGCTGTCCAACTCCTCATTCTGTAAAGTATGGCAGGGGCATCTGATTTTTGACTCTGTTCACCAATAAGACTTTAGCCAGTCAGTGGCTTTCTGAAGATCAGTAAAATCATCAAACTTTGGGTCAGCTGTCCAGAAATCAGATTGTGGTAAGCACTCAAGGAGAGATAGGTTCCGTAGGGAGCTACTTGCTAAAGGGTGCTTTGTTTTTATTAGTAGAGGTTGCTTTTATGGGAAAAGTTGGGGGGAGAGGTGGGTGGGAAATCATATTAGCAAAGCTCCACCTCTTCCCCATTACTGTAGTTTGTTTGTTTTCTGGGAACCTTATAGCCTAGGATAATTTTCACAAGGATCTCAAATATTTTGTACTACAGAACAAGAGGAATAGAGGGTCAGTGGCTTCTTTCTCCTCTCTATAGTCTTTCTTAGAAAAGTCAGCATTATTTTTGCTTCATGAAGAAAAAGCAATCATGTAAATGAAGAGTTTTGTAGTAAATATCTAATCAAATTTTTCCTTCTCTCAGGCTCTGACTTAAATTGACAGTAACCACGAGGCATTTTTGTTTTGACCTTCATAAAGCATAATTTTTGTACAAAAGTAGTATGTATAATTGTGCCTTAAATAAAACATTTGGGGTCGTGGACACTTAGTTTTGAGGATTAATGTAATATTTTAGCTGGTAGGGTACAATATTTTGATAATTGTAGGTTAATATTAAAAAGTAATTTTAAAGACACTTTCCTATTATTAGTAAGTATAGTTAGTCATTGGTACTAATTTTTTCATTGTAACTATTCATTATTGACTTTTAAGGTTAAAAAAAGAGCTGAAACCTATAGTTATCTACTTCTCAAAGATGATAAAATGTATTTCATGAGGAAGTCTTTGTATTCTTTTAAATGTATCTTAAAATTAGAGGCAGTTCATTTTAAAAATGCATGGAAAATTCTTGTTCAACAGCGAAAAACGTTTTGCAAATTTAGGAGAGGTGACAGTTGATTACTAAGCATATTTATAGACAGTTTAGAATTTGTTTTTAAAGGCAGCATTTTTTGTTTTACTAAAATGACCTTTTTTTGCTTTTAAAATGACTAAACTATGTAAATAAAAA